TAATAATTTGGTAACAAAAATACTAGTTTAAGTTTCGTAACCCTTGACCTTTATGAGCGCTAATAGGTACTCTAAATAATTAGACAAGTACACGTATTTCAAAAAAGTTTTTATATATTAGGCTCCTTTGTAAGATTTTGTGTGTCTATGGCAAAACCACTAGGGGTCTGTGGAGCTCAAGCGTCACTTGACTTATGACACATTGACAGGCCAAGTTTATTCAACGGTCCGCTTCGAAGACAGCACAGAAATCAATGGAGTTCCTAGCAAACTATACGACGATACAAAAATTTTTTTTAAGAATATTTTGTTGTTTTATCGGTTACATTTCTGTGGAAAGTTATTATTTCTTTTAAATAGTATTTTCTGTGAAATGGTACGAACAAAGATAAAGTACGGAAAAATGCAGTATTGTCACTATACACCTAAGAGTTATTATCTAAATTACAATCGCTTACCTAAACCTATCACACTATACAACCTATTACAAAAAATTGTGTGTATAAAAATTGTTTAACAACATTCATAAAATAAGTAATTTAAATTTAATATATCTAGTAGTTTTTATCATCGCGCAAATAAATTGATCAAACAAATGAAAAGCATTACCCTAAAAATATACCCAACTAATTCTATTACGTATCACAAAGCGACTCCACAGCGGGCGTTGTGCGCGCATTGTTTGCTAACGAAGCTTCGTCCCGCCACCGAGAGCTCTACACTTTAAACCATCAACGGTGTACAGCTCCTTCGGAAAATATTGCCCTAGCTTTTTATCCTCTTGTTTGAATAATGGCTGTAAACGTACTTGGCCGCCATTCGAGCAAGGTGTCAGGAAAACAGCTCGAGTTCGAACCACTAACGGGACTTGTTTACACAACCCGTCAACTTTTGGCGGTTCACAAGTGTTTTCCAACAGTTACTGGCGGAATGTAATGTAAGCACTTCGATAGATAGTGCTCAAAACCATTTTCGTCGGTCTTTGCTTTATCAATTTCGCTGTGTACGTAGGTTAGAGTTGTTAGAATTTACCTATTTTTGGGTTACATGGAAATAACATTCAGAAAGCGTTGAAAAAGATGGATAAATTTAGTTATTTCCACGTATGTACATCGTAACAAATCTGTTGGCTACACGAGGACTTGTTAATATATGTATGCACTGAACACGTGTTTTGTTCGCCCACGAGACTTCAGAAATTGTTAGTCTGTGCGACACCAACTAGTTGGTGTCTCGACACTGAGATTAACTCGTCGAATACCGAATATACACAATTAAAGAACAATAGGTTGCGGTCACCGGTGACCGCTTGGTGTTTGACAGTTTAAGTAGCGAACAGAATAACTTTTGTTTATGATTCATTTACCTTTTTATATACTATATATTTAATTTATATACATGATACGGTACTTTTATACATAGTAATTTAAACTGCCTCGTTGGCCGAGTGATCGCAAGTGCGACCGGGCAAGGGGTCTCGGGTTCGATTCCCGGGCCGGCAAAATAATACTGGGTTTTTTTTTAATTCTCAGTAGTAGCACGGAGTCTCGAATTGTGCTCGAATAGGCTCACCCCCTATTACATGACTCATAACATAAATAGTGAAAAGGGGGTGTTACATTGTTCAGTGGCATAATGTTCACCTCTGCCTACCCCTTCGGGGATAAAAAGGGTAAAGTTGTGATATGTGTAATAAACGTATAATACAATGTGTTCTGTCATGTATTTGATTATGACTTAGACATACCTACATCCTTTCAGACTTTGTACTATAAACAGACAATTTCTAAACGTTAGCATACCAATTAGAAATATATACAGGTGGATTTAAATGATCAACTTGCACCTGTTCATAAACTCTCTCGCGTTTTTGTATTGACTAAATACTTTTTACTTACTCAGGATGAAAGTTTGAAAAAACTAACTTACATCTGAAGTCTTTCCTATCGTTCAAACGTAAGTCAGACTCATTTATTTCCACATCAAGTTTCAATGATAGACTGAAACTGAAAGCTCTGATTTCTTCGCCGCTTTCCTTCGATCAGTTTTTCTGCTTTTTGTTAACTCAAACGTTTTACGCTACGATCGTCGCTGAAACCATTAGCGAGAAACTTAGGTGTATTTAACAGAGAACTAGGTATCAGTTCAAAGGATAGAATTCTAGAACTTGAAATTATTCTTTGATTCGTATATTTGAACATTTCAACATCTACCACATTCAAAATGAAACAGTATATATGCAAAGATTCTTCTTTTATTTTTCATTAATACTTTTGATCTCAGAAGATTTCAATTCGGAACCAAAAGCATCAGTCCATTGAAAATCATGCGCACGAGTCCTAACATAATAAGATCAATGCTATGCCTTATTGCTAACCCTTACCTAATAAATTACTAACTGGCCAGAAAAACGAATTTATATTATCTTATTTTTTCGCAGTAACATCTCTGGAAGGAGAGATCGTCAACCTAACAAAGGTCACGCGTTCAGAAATGGGCGCATACTTGTGCATCGCAGCCAATGGGGTGCCTCCCTCCGTCAGCAAGAGAATAATGCTACATGTACACTGTAAGTATAAATTACAGATAAGACAACTGATACTAGAGTTAACAAATGAAACTGTTGGTTAATACCCCTACATTAACAACGACCACATTTGTCTCGCACTGAAATGAGTTATTATAATTATTCGTGTCTCTAGTGTGTCGTGGGTGTAATTCTACGATGTAAGGAGATGCTAAGACCTCTAAAGGTTATGTTTAAGATATGATTATGTGATGTTTGTTACTGCTTTTAATGTATGTGTATACTTTGAAGAGTTATGAAGAATCATAATTATGTTTTCAAGAAAACAGTGTAAATTATACCTTTATTATATTCGCTTTTCATACGACCACAACCAAAATTTGACATTTTGTAGGATAGCAATTCAAAACAGGTATGAAAAATTTTATAGCGTCAACAATGCGCTAGCGTCACCTCTAATGTAGCAACGTCCATACAATATCCTATGCTAACTATAGATCCCGGCTTACATGAGTTGCAGCGGTTTTAGGAGGTTGTGGCGTTCTCGTCCCATTTAAAAAATGCTAACTGCTTTCCATCGCCAAATCAAATGGTATAAAAAATATCTTGCAAGATTGAATTTACTCAATAAAGTTGAATCACTCATAAAAAGTTCGAAAATTAATTTTCCAGTTCAAGTCACAGAGGCCCAATAGGATTACGCATTCACAGCATGTATCAATTCAATCATTGATAAAGTCTACTCGCTTGCGTAAAGCACGAGCAAAAAGCGTTACGTTGCGAACTCACTTATCAAATGATCGCCCTAATTTATAACCAGGAGTTATTCAATGCTCCGGTGGTCCCAAGTTCTTAACTTTAGACATGGAGTGCTAAACGAATGGAGTACTAACGCATACAAATTGTAATTTTGTCTTCCTAGACTAATTTTTGAGAGTTAGAGTACCCTTAAAAAAGATCTGACATCACTAAACTAGATTTGCTTTGTTATCAGGATTGTAGTTTAAGGTTTAAATACTTATAATAAACACATATTCAATGCTGAATGAGAACACATAAATCTTAGTAATTTTTGAGGTTACCATGTTTGCAATTTGGTCTGGCTTAGTGATTTTTATTTTTCTAAACTCACTGATAAGAATTGTGAAACAAATTCCCGTTTATTTATTAATGCTTCGTATACTCATTCTAGCTCATAGTTAGGCTAACAGCTGAACCCTTGGCTACCTCTGACACCTTAACTCTCCTTACACTCTTTACTCCATGTCCTCACAACACCGGGCCCGCCGGCTCGAACACGTAAGCAATTGGGAGATTTTCGTGTTATCACGTATCATCTTCGGTGCGTGTCTTGCATCAGAATTACTCGCACCAAAGCGTACAAAGTTACAGCCTCGTTGACTATTGGAATTTAGTTTTAGTACCGTTTTCAATTACAGATGAAATCGTCTGATAAATTTGAGTTACAATATTTCGGGACGCGAGGAGCGAGATAAGATATTTCTTTGTAAGTTGCTGATGTAATGTTATTTGGTTTCTTAGAAATTGAGTGTTTTATGTAAAGGATAAGTTTTAGAAGGAGTACCTTAGTGTTAAAAGCTGTTGTAGCATCTAAGCAGATTTCATAGTAAAAATGACTTTAAGTGCCAGTACAAAATAACTTTCGACACTTGCTTTTTTATTTGTATACTTAAGGTACATCGGTATGTCCAAACAGAACCTTTCCAATTAATTGCAACTAAAAAGCAAATTATTGTCTCTGTAGTCGAACAGCAGTAAGTCTCAAAAAAAAAGTATTCATCTGAAATTCTCAGTCGTAGCACAGAGTCTAAAGTGTTCAGCGTTTTGGGTTAAACCCGATTCCTAGTATAGTAGAATTTATTAAATAACAGAATATAACTTTAACCTCATCACTACTAACACCTTCTCGTGAAATCTACAGGCATTTTAAACACAATATCGCATCAATTGTAGTGCAAAAAATACCGTAGGTACTATATTTAGCTTGAAACTGCACTCAGACAAATTAATCTCCTATCTGTCCGGATCAACCGTTCGTATTCGCACACGGATCGCAAAATCACTGTTGGAATTATAGTGCGCCGCACAGGTGCATACGCCCATATCCATTTGCATTGATAGTGTTATGCTACTGGGAATTGACTGTGATCAGTTCATGAATCTGAAAACCGATGACAATGTAACTATTTTGTAATAACTGATGATTCGCAGTAAAAATCTAAATCAGTTTGGTATAGTTCACTCTAGTATAGTCTTTTATTCTAGTTTTGTATAGTCACAAATTGTTTCCTGCTAACTCTATAACGACTGCAGTTATTTCGATAAGGCTTTCAGTATTGCCTAAAAATAAAAAAATACAAATAGTAATGTTTAAAATTCTGATTAGCAAGATTGTTAGTGCTGGTATTTCGTTTACCTTTTACATACCTTATAATGTAGACACGTGAATAATGCACCAATAAGTAATTCCTCTATTCTATCACTACACTAAATATAACACACACTAACCTGACCTGAACCAAAATGTTTCATATACTTAAAAATATCTCACATAATTTTCTCAACCTGAAGAACAAATTCAGATGAAATAAAGGGTGTGAAACATATGACAACATAAACTAGCACCTGTGAACTAATAACCCGAGCCTGTGATTGCACATACGTCTGTATGTCCGTGTTCATTATACCATTATTCCCGAAGGTACGTTCGCTCCAAATGACTTCGAGAATGTTCTGCGAACAATGTTCAGCTTGATTATCATAGTAGTGATGATCGTGGAATGAAGACATTGTGCATATGAGGTAATAATTCTCTTTTATAGTGAAGAAAAAAATGTGAAATTGAAAAGACTGAATTATTTTAGAATTGAAATGACGTATGAAATAAATCGTTGTCTTTCATACGAGTAAGACGCGTTAAAAGACATGCATTTACTAATTTTTTTTACAATATGAGTTTAATGTCAAAAGGGCTATACTTTGTCATTATTCATTCATAACTTAATATGAATTTAAATTTCAAAACGAAAAAAAAATAAAAAGTACTTCTTCCTGTCCCCTAACTCAAACTAAATACAAAATTACATGCTGAGTTGCGTTTAAGAACAATAAAGGAGTCAAATATTTGCCAGAAATTAAATTTCTTCTAACGCTAGCCCAAGGGAATTAAAGTTAAAGTCAAGAATAACTTTACAATAACAGTGATTGCAGTGAGCCGCAAACTAACTTGGGAATCCTGTCCATACTTTAGAAGATAAACATTTTTTAATTACTAAAAGCAGACGCCAAAAGAGCAATGTTTTCTTCGGATGGAGTATTAAAATAGTTGGAATACCAGTATTTACTATATGAGCCAGTATAACTACCATAACTATTATGTTAATTTCGGCAAAACATATCAAACGTAAAATCAACAAAATATACCATAACTTCCGATACGTTACGGTTATTATCCCATATGATTTTACTCAGTTATTATGTATTTATTTATTGTTTATTAATTAATACGGTTTACACCAATTACGTTAATCAATTATAGCCACAATGTGTCTGTTCGTTTGTTTTTCCTTCGCGTTGCAACGAAGCGATAGTCTGAGCCTGGATAGTGAAATAGGCTGTTATTTACCTGAGGTAATAGTTAGTACCATAAAGTCGTTTATACATCACGTGTTCTCACAACAACATTAACAAACATTGCTTAACTTTAGGCCAGCTTGTACGCACAGCTGTAACTTAGAAGCTAATTTTTTCACTAACAATTTTTAATAATATTAATATTCTCCACAAAATACCATTTGTTCAATATATGTATTTGCAGCGATCCATCAACGTTCATTGAAATTTTATAAAAGGGTTTTTATTATTACAATGATCAAACAAAGCCTTCAATCACCAAATCTGTCAGGCAAACACTCAATACTAAATTCTGTTATCTTTTTGTATACAAATTACTGACAACTTAATGAAATATTCATGATCAAATATGTGTGTGTGTGTGTGTGTGTTTGACATATTTTTTGCTAGATAATAATTCAATTACCTACCTACTGTTAGTCCTACCGTCGTAACAAACTCTGTTGAATATTAAGTCTTTTGATCTACATAGAATGCTTTAAAAGTCCCTTTCACCTAAATACATAATCCTTTACTTAATACATTTTAAAATAAGACGAATTCTTGCTAAACCCTAATCACTAAAAAACATTTACGAACTACTAAAACTTCGTATACCTTACATCACATAGTACACCGCTATAGACCTTTAAACTCCTCTATACTCAGAAAAACAGGCGTAAATGTAGGTATAACATCATTCTATTTCTAGTTTGATTGTGTCTCGTGTTTCGCCTATAAAACTTTTTCGTGCAGTAAGCGGGTCACTGGATGCCCCAACGCATTGTCCACTACGTATTTGCATTCTGTTATTGGCAGTCCACTGTAAACATTCTGATTGGATCCTATATTCATATGGACGAACTAAATAACTCTAGAACCGATTTAAATTTAATCACCGAATTAGACGAGTACTCAAAGTTAGTACGCTAACAGCCGTAGTAAATAAAACATTCGTTTACCTTAAACCTTAATACGATTCACATTACGCTCTATAAATATACGTTTCAGATACTTGACATTTCATATCTCGTATCTATAAAATAAATAAAAGCCAACGTCGCTTAACGACAACCGAGAGAAATTCACTTCATAGGAAACGCAATTTCAAGCGAACAAACAAACTACTGCCGTCTGAAACCCTTCCACTCAGTTTAATTACTTCACAAAGAATGCGTCGCGTTCGCTCGATGAGGAGACAAAATTAACGCTCTCAAATATTTAATTTAAATTTCCTCCCCCGAAAACGAATGATAACAGCGGGTTGGGTGGACTTGTGGCCGCGAGTGTACATAAAAACACTTTTTAGAAGCAGAAGTGAAGCAATTCATTTGTAACGTAAGTGCTAAGTAACGCGATGAGTTTCTTTTAGTTGATTCACTGGAACCGGAACGACGGTAAATTGAGTTTAGAGAAAAAGAAACAAGCCAAACGAAGTGAACAAATCGCAATCAATTTGCAAAGAGGATCCAGCAGTTAAGGATAATTAATTTTAGGATATATATTCTCTTGTAGTGTTTATTCCAAGCTCGTCGTGATTTATAAGTTTGTCTACGTCTGGCTTCGGTCCCGAATGTAACGTATTTGTAAGGATTGTTTGGTTAAAACTGCAGCTCAAGAAATTCCAAAGTCAACTAGAACAGGTAATAGCAACAAAACGCCAAGAAATCCGAAAACGGCGAAAGCGTGTGCGCCGCTCGGTTAATCAAACTGTCACTTGAAGAATTCCGCGCGGAATCCTTCCCAAGAAAACTCCCCTAACTTTTGATTGCTGCGAGAATTCCTATCTACTTATACAGTTAGGGATTGCTTAATCACGTTCTTTAAGTTATACCTTTGCGGACTCAGCATACACGTAATAATTCCGTTGCTTTAACTCTTGTAAAATACAACTGAATAAAACGCAATTGCAATTAGATTAACATCTCGACTGTTCATTATTCCGCTTTATTTAATAAGCAAAAGGCTGCCCTCGTAGCCCCTTGGAGTTATTAATTAGAACAAAAATTCTGATCGTTCAGATTTTGTTCGCTAAATTGGCCACTCAAACTCGTAAAAGCCGTCCAAAGGAACTTAACGACGGTCAAAGAGAATAACCGCAAATAAGCTCCGATCTAAGGTCGTGGAAGAAAATTCCGTTTTCCTTAATTCACCCTAAATAGACTTTTGGGGATGCTGGTGCGATTGTTTACATTTTCGAAATAATCCGTTCGCTTTAAGAACAACTTGACGCTTTCGTACCGACATTTCAACCTCTCGGTATCTTTTCGAATCAGGGTCTTTGTTAATTGCGAAACATCTTTTGATTCAAATAAAATAATTTTAAAAGTCTTTAGGTGACTTCCATTTTTGTTCTTAGAAATGAAATAATATTTTCAAAATTGTAATAAATGTTGCTATACAAGACGTTGCAATGTTGAAAGTACTGAACACACCGCCATAAAGTAACAGTACGACATCTGAAACTGTAGTTTAATTGCGTGCAAATATCTAGTCTGTTAAATAGCTAAAGCAAACAGAAGTAGTGCAGGCAGGCGGGATGATATTCAGAGTAAACACCTGACAGTCGCAGTGGAGTTTTACCAAAGTGGCGGAGCGAGGAGGGTAAACAGAGTGCGCGAGCGACGCCGGCGGATGCGACGACGGCGCGGTGACGTGGCGGCAGTGACTCATCGCGCACTGTCAATAACAAGTTGCCGAGTAACTCATAATTTTGAGGAAACTGCTTTCTTATAACTGCATGTCTTCATGTCGACTTGTCGTTCGATATAAAACTGAGAGACTTTAACATTTTAACAGAAATGTTGTATTGGTCGTAGCATCGTAGCGGTGATGTAGCTGCTACGCCGTAGCTACCGTGTAGTAGATGCAACGCCAAACGCAGAGTATAGCATATTGTCAGTACAAACTAATCACTTTAATTTTGAAACGAACATTGTACAGTGATGAATAAATATAATGCAAAAAACCATGTTTTATGGAAAATCTGAAAGTAAGTAAACAAAATAAACTCTGTGTAAATTCGATAGTGAAACATAACTCATTACTGAACCAGATTAGATCGTATCATATTTAACGTTCACATGTAAAAGTTTATTTGCAACTAATGCGGCTCACCCGGCGATATATTAACGTCATTTCATTTATTAACGCGAACGTTTCATTAACCTGGGCTAATAATATGACGTCACAGTGCAGTTGACTGACTAATATGAATGATTTTATATGCAACTGCAATAAATTTTGAATTGCAATCAAAATGGCTTTTGAACCATTTGCTATGAAGTATGTTCAAGGCAGTTTAGCATATTGAATTGCAATTTCATAGCTCTGCAATTTTTACGAATTGTGTTTTTTAATGAATAAATTAATCACTTGTGAATACACAATACATGAATACACAATAATACTCGAAAAAAATAATAAACAGTTATTTTTTAAACCTAAAAACACACGTAAGCAATGCGTTTGCGGCAGTTATTTCCATATCACTTTATACATCCTTATCTATCGCTTGTTCATTTATTTGCACATAGGTACGTAGAAAAAGTGCTTTTAGATGGGACTCATAGCATAATCGTAACACAACTGGTCAGATTTCATATATGTACCAACATTTCTATCTACTTCTTCGAACAATAAAGTCATATGAAGTTAACAACCATTTCGTTATTTCAAATATTATTCCAACACATTCTCTTTATTAGTGCGAAAAGTTATAAATATAAAACAAAATGTACAGAGAGCGTGTAAGTACGCCGAATGTGCGAGGCGCATGCATGCCATGCCAAATGCAAAGGCTTTGAGCGCCTATTTATAAACGCTAGGCGAAAATAGAATGTTCTCGAAATGCAACAAAAATGTGAATGAAACCACTCACTACGCAGCTCGCTTGCACTTTGAATATTTTTATATGAAACTAAAATAGCAAAGGAGGAAGTTATTTCTTGTTTGGATACGTACAGAGTTCAGAATACAGGTAAAAATTTGGGCCATACTATGACACCAATGGGCTGGATCGATCGGAGATCCCAACATATCGTACCTCTTCTTATGTTCCTTACTATCCGCTGATCCGTCTACTCGTTCGTCGAGCTACATAATTAAAAAAAGATTCATATTAATAAAAAAATATTCTTTTCTTCTTTGTCCACAGTCCATCCACTGGTACAAGTACCAAATCAACTTGTGGGTGCTCCGACAGGCACTGACGTCACTCTGCAGTGCCATGTTGAAGCGTCACCTAAGGCCATCAACTATTGGACTAGAGAGAATGGTAAGTTAAAAACACCTATTATTAGTAGTAGTACCTAGTATTAATGACTGAAAATCTAGTGGCAGATCATATACTCCCTCCATTCGATCCAAAATACATATTAGTTAGTGTGTGTTCGGTTGGTCATTATAAATAGCACTACCGAGCATAAAGTTTTGGGTTTGAACTACGAATTTGAAAAAATATAGTTAATTTCTGAATCTGAAACTGTGAGAACACCGTACTGACACAATCGCCATCATAGAATTAGTAAAATAATAAAAATAATAGTTTTGAACATAAAGAGTAGTAATACTTTTTGATTTAAATATCTAAAAACAAACCATGCCAATTAAGTAATTTGTATAACATTCAACAAAAGTTAAAGTGTACGACTAATTACTTGAATCTGAGTGACCTTTGAAAATGATTAATGCCTGGAGTCAGCCAAAAGTTCAGTTTAACCTATGAAAGGTTGCAAAACTACGAGCTAACTTAGATTTGTACAGTCGTCGAGTAAATCTGTTAACTAAGCGCCTGTTATGTGTGTTTTACTATTACGGAAAGGCTGTCAAAGGAAAATTTATAACGTAGGAGGCATTAGTAATGAATTTCTCTTTGTCCTTATGATTCCAAGCTACTACTCAATTTAAGATACTAAGTTCAAGTATTGGTTTCAACAGAGAATTGTAGAGAGAATTGTGTTGAGAATTCTAACTACAATATGCTTTTTAAGAACATTTAAATTCAAATACTAACTATGAAAAGATTCTAAATCTATAGATTAGAAGAACTCAAGTCACACTTATGATCAAGTCTATAGTGCCATCTACCAAAAAAAAGTCCAAAAAAAGTCCCTGATGTCATGGCAAGGATTTCATTTTATTTTGAATCCCATTCATAAGATCGCAAGATATCGAACCTTTTACTATACCTAAATGAATGGCCATTTTTCCCAAGAATAATACGGGCAGCACTTCTCAAGTTAAACATTGACTTCTTCATAAATTTCTATTTTTTTATTTTTTTTTTTTTATTTATTTATTATTACATTTCAGTACAGTTTAAAATTTCTTATTTGCACCATTAAACCACAGCTGGTTTGTATTGGTACTCACATTCGCTTAACAAGTTTTATGTTATAAATTTATAAACCCATTCAATATGACAATTACGTTAATATAATAAGTGACAAAGATATAACATTTTAGATACGTTAGATATTTTACAAGTAACAGTAAACATCCATGAGCAAAGCATAAACGCACTCATTAAAATTGCAAAGAAACAAAGTACTCAAAGAAACCGATACCGACACACACGGTACTAGCTAATGTTAAACTTTTGCAGTCTACCCCACAATATGCTACATTCGCATTATGAGTTCTCAGTGTGTAACCGGCTCTCGTCAACTTAAAAAAAAAATTGTAATATACAGGCTGTTTCCTACATTTTGGTTGTGAATAATTTTAGACCATGTTATTTATGATATTGTGGTAATATTTTTTATATTTCTGTTTATAGTTTTTGGAGTTAATTTCGTATTTGATATTTTGTGGAATTTCATTAATTATTGTGGGGATTATAAATTTAGAAGTTCGTCTGCCATAATAATTTTTAACTTGAGGTATTATTAATTTATTTTTGGTAATATTCCTAGTGATTATTTTATGCGAAATGGGTACTTGAATACTTTTATTATTAAATTGTTCACTCAAGAAGGCTAGATGAAATCGAAACTGTACAGGTAATATTTTGCAATATTTAAATAATTCTGTGACGTTATTTCTGCATTTGTCTTTTATTTTACTCGGGACCATAAGTTTTAGAAATCGAACCTGTAATTTAGTTATCTTTTCAATAAGTGTTTTAAATGTACGCCCGTAACTTGTGATTCCGTATGCAATAATTGATTCCGCCAAGGCCATGTACATGCTAAGTAGTGTTTTAAACGGAACTTTCGGTTTCAATATGTAGAACTTAGCCAATATTGCCCGTAACCTATCACACACTAAGTCGACATGAAAAGACCAGTTGAAACGGTTGTCTACGATTAGTCCCAGGTACGTGTGGTGCGTTACCTGGTCTATTTCCTCGCATCGACACGCTCCTCGCCGCGTAGAGTGAAGACAACCGTGACTATGTGATACAATACTGAAAGGCATCATGAGCTTCAAGTGGCTTGAATGGACATGTATTATTTAATGAATTAGAGTAAAAATAAGTCTTTAAAATTACACTGCAAAAGCAAAGTTTGAGAAGGTTAAATAAATCTCCTGGTGTTTAGTTTTATGGTGTCTAAAGTTGGACCTCCGAGACGACTAAGAGTAAAGTGTGTGGACTACAAAGAAACACTGCTTCAGCTTTGCTCAACACGTCTCGAAACTTTGCACTGCATATTGATTGCTTAAAACAGTACTGTTTGAATACAGTTCAGAACTTATTTTTGGAAATTTTGTCTAACAGACGATGAGACATAATGGGCAAAAAGTGCACGGTAAATAAGATCAGCACCAGTACATCAACAGCCCATAAATACCCACTGCTGAGCAAAGCTTCTTCTGCCACGGAGAAGGTTTGAGCATTAATCACCACGCTTGCTCAATGGGTTGGCGATTAAAAATTTATAATTAGAAATTATAAGCCCAGGTTTCCTCACGATGTTTTCCTTCACCGTTTGTCAGTGGCGTCTAGATAATCTTAGAAAGTACATATAACTTGGAAAAAGTCACTTTGGTAGTTGCCGTTGGTAGGTTTCGAACCCTACCCTTACTCATAAGAAGCAGGCGTCTTAAACCTCCAGGCCACTACGACATTACGTCTTTTGTAAAATAACTAGCGTGATGATACTACTGCAAAATAGTGCATTGCGCTTTTTAGGAATTCAGTATTTAGATTAAGATTTTAATGAAGACATTACTTGCCTACATAGCTCTAACATATGAAACAAAAAGATCCTCATATACAGAATCCACTTGAGAATCAATTCACGCTTCACCAATACGAACCACAGCCCCGTGCATGAACATTAGCCTCACAAAAAAGTAGATCAAAAGATTTAATTGATATACGAGGTTTTTCCTATTTCACGGTTCCTTAATCAAAGTCCAAAATCAGTTAACCCAAGCTATAATTAGTATAATCTCTGATTGTGTTCTAAAGATGTTTACGGCTTGCGTAACTCATAAAGTATATTAAGTACGAAGCACGAACCTCGTGAACGGAATAAGCAACTAATTTCATTATTCATAAAGCACATTGAAAGCGTTAAAGCAGTCATTAAAACGACCGTTTTTCATGTTTCTACTATCCTCTTTGACAGGCTACGGGGGCTAGTGCTTGCTTACAAGTTATTGCCTTTTTATGAACGTATTTAAAGGGAAAAATTATGCGGTTATTTCATGTCCGTTTTTCATTTCACTAAGATTTATTTCTACTTTGATTACATGGCGCCTATACCACGGCTTATTAACGACCTCATAATTATAGCCGCGATGACAACATAAAATATTGCCCTACTACGAATTAATAAATGATGGCTGCTTAATATCTAAGAATTGAATAGTTCCATTCTGATAAAGAAATTGTTTCAAATTAGTTTTCGACACAAAAATGAAGTCGTAATTTTCCTTTATTGGCTTACATTAAAAGCCTATTTCTATTATTTTAAATTAAACCTAGTCTCTTACTTTTATACAGTAAGATTACTATTTCAAGAAATAACTTCGTTGGAGCCCATTTCAGTATTATTAAGTAAGTCGGTTAACATAAATAGCTGACGTCAAAAGGCGAACTAAATTGGCCCCAGTGAAATATAACCTGTAAAATACCTATATAAAAACACGTGCTAACTAATACAAATAAGGCTCTTAACCTAACAAAACATCAGAGAGGTCGGCAACTTCATTATTTCTCATTAAAATGACAACCGCAGGATAAAAGTTGCTTATTTAGTGTTTGGGTAACAGATGGACAAAAGCGCTCGAGAGAAGCGGAGGGAGATGTTACACAGATAAGCTCAATATTTACTTTACGTTTGTTTTATGTATGTAGATGTACGAAATAAAGATGAAATGTGAGAGATTATATCGAGACTTTAACAAACTGACCCGACACCGCGCACGCCCTCATATATCCAAATATTCATAAAACTGACAATGCAACTCGCATTTGTATAATTTCGCTATGTTTATGTAATAGCTGCAGAATATTGACATTAGTTCAGAGAGACAACAAAAAAAAATGAAAAAGTGTCAACCCTATTATTATTTTCACTATAACTGTGTTTGAAGACAGGCCACTACAATTGGAATTCGACATGCCGAAATACGTTTTAGTCGAAGCGCTAGTTTTCAAGTGGATAATGCGTTGCAACAAACAGCCGGCACGGTCGGCGGACAACGGCCGGCCACTAAAGTCGAGTTAGAAATGGATTTACGGGTTGCGGGCCGTCCGGCGCCGTCCAGTGCCGTCCTCCGCCGTTCGCAGTCATCTGCTAGCCGCGACCGCACCGCATGCCGCGACATGTGTGAACGGTCCTCGACCAAAGCCCGATAAAACGAACAAAACTTTTTCGCAATGCGGTCTTTAAACTTATATTTTTTTCGGTCTAATCGAACAGTTTATGCGGTCCAATGCGAGTGCAGTCAGAGTTTGTTGAAAGTTAGACGCATTGAAATTGAGATTTAAAACGATTTTTCCCGAAGAATATAAAACGAATTTTCTGGTGCGACGCGCCAATGCCGTGCTTTCTAGGATAGGACAAACTAAAGAGATGGGTACAAAACATTGAAGAAGATAAAAGAAATGAAATCAACAAAATAAATGAAACTGAATAGATACATAAACAATAAAAAATATATTGTCTGCACAGATAGATAAAAGAAATCACGTACTTACCTACCTCATATCTAGATATTTAAATTATAAACGGAAATATCCTATTCATTTGAAAATGAAGACGAATCCACTTTGGTGTAGATTATTATTAATGAACGGAAATAAACAACCCAATTTCTCTA